ATTTTTATGTCAATGATACGGTTCTTCTGAAGGACAACGGAATAATTTAGATTTCAAGGTTTTTACTTAAAAATTTGCAAAGAGACAAGTCTTAACGAAAATAATTTATTGTTAGGATCTTATATTTATAAGTATGAAATCTGTCAGTGTATATGAACGATGTAAAAGATGCAGTTTGATCATAACTATTGTATCCTTAGGATAAGAATGACAGAAAACTCTGAAGCGTTTTTTTAAGAAACTATTCTCTTTGAAATCAGTTAAAAACCATCGTAAAAATATAATATCTTATTTATAATTGATTTCAGTCTACATGATGTATATAATTTCGAATCAAAAGTAATTGATCAATTAGAAGATTTCCCTAGTAAATTTAAACTTAAAAAAAAAATTTTTTTTAGTTTATTTATTGTAAGATTATTTACGAATACAGAAAATCGAATCATCTTCGATTTGTTAAGGGTACATTTTCTGGAATTTCTATAGAATTAGAAATATTTTTTACAGGTGTACTCGATATTGTTGGGCATGGGTATCTTTTTAGTTTTTATCATTCAAGTGAAAACAAAATATGAAAGATATCCTAAAAAAAAAAAAAGTAAATTTGATTTTTTAATAATAGTTTTTGGATCCTAAAATAATACTTAGTAAATACATACTATTTCAGATTGTTTTAAATAATTATGAGATCAATTACTAAGATAGTTGAATTTATATTTTAGAAATCTTCATCTCATCGTTATTTATGTTCAATTAAACATTTAACTAAAATTAATTTACCTAAATGGAAATGTATCTCACCAAATATTGATCAAATCTTATCAGATAAACATACACAGTCAGGTGTTTATGCACATGAAATACATCTTATTCAACAAGAACTCGAAGCTCTTTTATCAATGTCTATGTTACGTGAAAGTCTTTTTCATTCAACAACTATTGATTATTTAAATTTAAAAATTAATCAATATCAACAAGTTGAAGATATTTATTTATCAAAAAAAATTCCAAAAAAATCATTACCACCATTAATTAATTATCAACAACGACGTAATGTTCCACATATATTACTTGATCGACAAATATCAATGACATCAATAACTGATATATATATTGATAAAATTTGGTCTGATATAAATACATTTTATCGACAAATATCATCAAATGATATATTAACAATTAAAAATCTTGTTAAATTTAATCAACAATTAAAAGAAAAAATTCTTAAATATAAAAATCAATATTATAATAATAAATTAACTCAATTAAATATAATTAAACAATTAAATAAAGAAAATTTTCAATATTTATTAAATATAACACAAATTAATTCTTTAATTACACATTATACAAATCAAACAATATTAGAACGTTTTCAAACAAAATTATATCAACATGTATCATCTAATGATAAAAATCAATTTTCTAGAAAATCAATAAATTATTATTCAAATAATAATTCATCACGCTTACAATCAGATTATCAAATAGATCTTTTTTCTATACCTAATGTAAGTGTGTATATGAGTAAAATCATTTTGTTAGTGATATAACCTCGCAAAAATTAAGAAATATATATTTCAGATAGAGTTCATCGGGTTCAAGAATTTCTCAAACAGGACATGGGCTTGATTAGATCTGAGTTTACCCAGGACTTGATAGGCTTTAATCTCACGATAATAAACTCTTCTAAAGCTAATTTTTATATGTTACATCTATTGTAAATACTTTATATACCCCAAAACATTTTACTTCAGAGGAATTATCAGTAAGAAAAAAAAAATTTCACTATAGATACATTTCATATCTTGAAGTTTTCGATTTTTTTTTTTGTTCTCGTATGATTAGAGAGATATATATTTCGTTAATTACTTTTTAATCAATAGTCAGCTAAAAGAACTAATTGAAAATAAATAAATAACCCTTTTAAATCATTAACGTCAAATGAAAGGTGAATATGTTCCGCTTTACCGGAAATGGGTCATATAGGATATTATTTTGACATGAAATTTCATAAACATTCTTAAAACGATAAATTACAAGTTCGATATATATAACTTTTGAATAATGAGAATACTTCATAGTATTAGAAAGACATATTTGATTTGCATAGTTGAGTATTATGATTGAATACTATTTTGATTATACTTATTGAACTTGGAATATGATTTATTATTCAAAGAAACATTGAATAAAAGAATTGATTCATGTTTTTATATTAATCGAGTGATCTTCCTTGAGAGCTGTCTAAAATGATTTAGTGACACGAATATGAAGCGTCTATTTTGCTTCAAGTCTGCGCAAATAATCTCAAGATCAGTCAGTCAACGTCAAGGCAAAACTAATTCTTAAAATAGCAGACAGGCATGTTACAAATATTTTTCCGGAAAGAAGATTTACGTATAATAAAAAAAAAATTACTTTAAAAAATGTACTATTGTTTTTAGCTTGAAGGTATTTATCATAACATAGAAAAAATAATAGTTCGTTAATAGATTTTTGTTTTTATAGTATAATATTGTAATTTTTCTTTTTCAATAAACTAAACAACATTTATAATAACACATAATTGTATGTTCAGAAGAATTATTGTGTTTTTTTTTTCTTCTTATAATTTAATTATGTAAAAATATTATAATAACAAATATCTTGATATTGTTATTCTTTTAGGTCAAATCAGATGATGATCATCAACAATCATCAATAGTCAAATATAAAAAGAAAACAAGATTTTCATTGATAAATTCATCCTTATCAATAAAAGTTCAAGAAGATATTCAATCAGTTCGTGATTATTTATCTGATCAACATCCATTTACAAATAAATATCTTGAACAACAACAATTTATTAATAATATTAAAGGAAATAAAAGACGAAATACTTCAATAATAAATCATTCAAAAGATATATTTAATTCAAAACTTTCAACATTAATATTATTATTAGATGAATGTTCATCATTAAGTTTATGTGCATTAAAACGTGCATATTTACAATCTAATAATGAACAAACATGGCTAAAATTAAATACAATTGAACATGATCTTGATTTATTAATACAAGAAATTGATATGATTGGTGATTATAATAATAGTAAAAGTACAAGAAAAACATTTCAAACTTTAGATCATTTATTAAATGATTGGACAAAATATGAAGATGATTTCAATTATCAATTCGATGAATTATTTAATATTAATGTCTAAAAAATTAGTCTGGCTTTTCGTTATCTGTTTACCATCTTGCATATATATATATATACATTTATGTATGTATGTAGGTAATCAGAAGAAAAAAAATATATTATTTCTGTAAATGTTTAATTTTTAGGATTTTCTTCTGTCTATTTTCGTAAATAATTAAATCATAAATTGAACTTATCAGAAAAAAAAAACGTCCGATGATCGGCTATAAATACTATACATATATTTTTTTTTGTTTCAGATTATAATTAAGAATAGTATGTAAACTATTATCGTTCGTCGTTATACAGATTGACTCGACATATTAATAAATTGTGTAATACTTTCGAGAGAAATCTCCCAAATGAATAAGCCCTTGTGGATCGAAACTATATTTACTATGTAGACTCTAACGAGCTATGAATACCCTGAAAAGAGCTCGAGTCCTTAGCTTATTACTATCGACATACTGCATTTTTATGATATTTTTAATATCACGCTACAATTCCCAGTCAATAACACTAGAAAAATTAATTTATGAATTTCAATTCGAAACTTTGCACAATGATAAACTCTTGCGTGAATAGTTTATCGTGAATTTGTTAGATCTTTTCGTTGTTCCTATCCAGAAATAAGAACATCAAATTTTCTATGTATATGAAGGACGTAAAAGATATTTCATTACTATAAACATATCTTAGGATACGAATAACGAAAAGTTACACAATAAACTATGCTCATTAAATTTTACCTCTATGCAAAGGTTCGAATTACAATTCAAAAAATATTTTATCCTAAGAGAAATCATATTATTGAATTTAAAAAAATATCGTAAAAAATGAAGTATCTCTGCAGCAATATTCTAAGAATCGAAACTCTTTTCAGGATATTCATAACTGATTATGTCCTATATGATGGATATAGTCTCAATTCAAAAACGATTAATCATATGTAGAACTTCTCTCGTTAGATTATTTGATAAAAAAAAAATATCATTATGCTTTTGTTTTTTTTTTTTCTATTTCAGATTTTTCTGTTTATATCGTTTATTATCACCGAATGAATATCGGTAAGTCTTATAATAGAATTAAAAAAATTAGAAAAACTATATTATTTCCTTGTTTCATATTCATATATTTATTTTCATTTGAAATGAAACGTGTCATGTAAAAACGAGAACTGAATACACAATATCCGTATATGAATACAATCAATAATCATTTATTTTGTTTGTATACAATTGCAAAATTGTCTAGTCTCAGAATTCAACTATTGATGTCTAATCATTCATATTTCAATGAGATTTTTTAGAGTTCGATTGAATTAATTGAACAACATATACATTGTATTTTGTCTTGATTTAGCCCTTAAAATTTGAGTAAATGTTTTCATCATTTATTATGTACAAAATATATTACATCATAGACAGATAAGAATTTTTGTCATTGAATTCAATGGTATTTAATCAATCAGACTTCAAAAAAAAAACGACCTATTTTCATTTGCATCGCTAAATCATGCTTTTTTTCCTTCGTTTCATTAATAATCATTGTGTTCTCCTTAACTTTTAACATTGTTCAGACGACCTATTTTCCCAAAAAGAAAAAAAAAAAACGAGAACGATCATCTTTATTGACCCTCATCTCTCTCTCTCTTCTCTCGTTCTTTTTTCTATACACATTCACATATATATGTATGTATGTCGGTGTTGTAGCGACGAGAGTATGCACTCACTATTCTCCTACGTTCTTTTTTTTTTTTTTTTTCGCCTACAATATGAGTACGCATGAATCAGTAGACATTCGTTCTCTTCTCATTTTTTTTTGCTTGCAAACGAGTAAAGTTAGAGCGTCAATTGTATGTGTGCGTTGATAGATCATTGCCTTGTATCGAAGTTTGTTTCTTTTTTTTTTATTTTAGAATGATAATATTTTAAGAAAAAAAAAGAAAACGAAATAAAAATTATGGCTGAAAACCAAAATAATTCTTCTTTAAGACGATATAATTTAATTAATAATGATCATATTGATGAACAAAATAGAACGAATTCTAATTATGAACAACTTATTCCTATTTCAATTGAATATTTATCAACACCAGCAACTATTTCAAATAAACGTCGTCGTTGTTCAATAACAAATGAACAATCTTTGTCAACACAATTATGTTCAAATAGTCAAGATTTTATTTATGATAGAAACCTTACTATGACACCTACAATAGGAACTCGAAAACGATCAGCACAAGATGATCTAGTCACATTTACAACGCATCATTTTCTTCAAGAACATGAACCATATGTAAGAAAAAAAATAAAAATTTGTTTTTAACTAACATCTATCTGTCAACAATTATGATAAAATTAATCAGACCTATGATATATAGTTGAAGTGGTTAGATAGGTGAAATAGTACATAACTGATTCATTTCGTATGTTAAAAAAACCTTCAATTGAATATTTTTATTACTACGTTGTATTAAAATTTGAGAATATCAAATTAATCCAATTCTTTTTTTTTTTGCATGCGCAATACTTCAAAAAATATGTTCAAATAAAAATTTCTCTACGAAATCAGCCAGTACAAAATTTCAAGTTCATTTTTATTCTTGTGCACTTTGAGTACACTTAAAAGACGTTATTTCTTAAAATAAACGTTCCAGTTATGAAAAAAAAACAAAAACAAATTTCTAAATATTCCTTGTTAATTTTCAGACGCATAAACGAGCTCGATATGAAAATTCGAATAGTATTGAATTAGAAAATCAACCACCACGTTTAACTAATAAACGTCGATCTTTATTCTTTCATCATCAACAACAACAACAACAACAACAACAAGAAGATAATTTATCATCAACATGGAATAATCATCAAACTACAAATGATATTTCATTATTTTTTAATAATATTCCTCCATCTCTATCACATCCAACAATAACAACATATCATCGAACAAATAGTGCACCTAATCATGATCATAATTTAAACGATCAATATTCATCATTATTAACTGAACATCATCATTCATCAATATTTCATAATAATTCATTAATAACATCGAATCAAAAAAGTAAAATTAAATTTTTTTTGTTTTTTTTGAAAAATTAAAAAAAAAAAAATTTCTTTAAAATCATTTCTTTTCAAGGTACTATACCAAAATCTTCAAAAACAAATATACGTTTATTATCACCTCAATTAAATGGTTCTAGTCCATTACGTACAACAAATTTTCTATTTGATAATAAACAACAAACAATAATTCGAACAGGAAATATATCTCCAGCACATTCAGATTCATCAAGTGAATCAACATCAACATGTTCATCTGATGAACAATTACATCATCATCATTATCATTTTTATCAACCACAACCATGGCGTTCATATCGTGAACGAGAAAATTATGAACAATTATTAGATCTTGCAGAAAAATTATCTGATCCAAATCGTTTTAATAAAGTTGATGTACAACAATTTTTTTCTTATCGTTATAAAATACCAACAATAACATCATCAACAATATCATCAAAACAAACAGCTTGTGTTATTTGTATGTCACATTTTAAAAATGGACAACATATTCGTGTACTTCCATGTCAACATGAATATCATTCGAAATGTATTGCACGTTGGTTTGCAATGAATTCATCATGTCCTATTTGTCGTCGAGATAATTTTCTATCTTCTTGCTGATATATATGTACATTTAATTGCACATATCATTTATGGATTTAGATAGATATATTTCGTTGTGTGCAACAGTAAAATCTTATATTATGTGTATATTTTTTACAATGTTCACCAAGAAGAACCACAAAAAAAAAAACAAAGAAATATATATATATATATATAGGCATTTTTTTCTGTATTTGTCTTGTCTTCCTATTTTACATTTTTCTTGAATATTCTCTTTTGTTTGTATGTATATGTAAGACAAGTATGTTTTGTGAGAGAATTAACTATCACTTCTATAATGTTAGGTTACTGTGTATTCTTTCTATTCAGTTTTTTTTTTTTTTTTGTTTCAAAAAGAGAAGAAAAAGTAATAGACAAGATTATTTTTTTTTTTCTTTCTTTTTCTTATTGGTGCGTGAAAAGAAATGGGTCATACATAGACAGATGCTCACATTTTTTTTTTCTAACCTCCGGATAGAAAGTAAACCATTGAAGCTTACAGATGAGAGTGATCAATTATCATTTTTGTGAGTTACAACTAGCTTGACAGTAGTGGTCATGCATCTTATATATCTGTCTTATCTAGTCCGACATGAGAGCGAAACAAAAAAAAAAAAGAAAGAACTAAAGGAGTATTCGTGCATGCATATTTTGCGACGAGGGCGATTTCAATGGGATGTCGACCGCCATCATAAATAACAAGTATAATCAAAAAAAAGAAAAGAAACGAGAAAAGATAGCATAGTTCCATTTTCCATTGCCTTGTGGAAAAAAAAAAACGAGAGAAAGAGAGAAAAAAAAATGACAGAACGAAAGAACAAACTGTATAATTAAGAGAAAGACGAGACGTCGAGCATCATTCTCTCTCTCTCTTTCTCCCGTATTTGTTCGTTCAGAACGAACAAATGTCTATTCTTCATCTATAGAGAAGGCATACAATACACATACAGCTGTCGTGACGGAGTAGGTCTACTTTTTTTTTTTTTATTATTTGAAATAAATGAATACCTACATTCAACATGGTGACCGTTTGTTTTTTTCTCTTTTTCTATAGTTTTAGATCATGATGACAGTAACAGAAAGTACCGCTAGTACGATGTCTCAGTCTATCGGTAGGTTAAGAAGAGCAAAAAAAAAAAACAATTATATAAAAATTTTGTTTTTTCTTTGTTAGGTTATAATAACTATGCAGTAAATAATTCATATCCAACAACGACATATGATTATCGACATGATAATTCTTGGGAGAAACCAAATTATGCTACATTTAATAATCAATCAATATTATTTTCAACCGGTGGTATTCCATCAATAAATAAATTTTATCATCCATCGTTCGATACAATTCCGAATCTCAATAATACAAATCCTAATTTCTATCGACGTCATAGTATGTTGATAAATATATAATATATTTAATATTTATATAATTAATTTTTGTTTTTCATAGCTGAATCAACTTTACAAACATCAAATTCGATCTATTCGCCGTCTACATCTAATCCTCCTTCAAATGTTCCATTTAATTATTCAAATAATCCATCGGAACTATTTTTTGGTTGGAATAATGGATCATCTTTAATGCGTACACAGAGTGCTTCGTATCAAAATTATTCCGGATCAAGTATGTTTATTAATATTAAATTAATAATCACTATAACTAATTTAAATAATTCGATTAGTTCAGATTTTAATTATAATTATTTTTTCTTAAATGAATTTAGTACGATTTAAAAAAACAAAAAAAAAATCAAATGAATAAATGAGAAATAATTCATGGGTAGTAAAAATTCGATAGAAGGATAACTATTGTTGAACCGGTTGTTTTTGATTTCGTCTTCGATTCCATTGAGATGAGGACCATAGTCGATCTAAGTTCGACACGATCATAAAACATTGGTTCTCGCCTCGAGACAACAAGAGTTTGGCGTCAGTGCCATCCAAAAATAATTTTGCCCTCAGTTCCAGTCAAGAAAGATTTCGTTGTGATTTTGACCAAAAATTTTTCGTTTCGATGTTACTCGAAAATAATTTTAGTCGCATTCCCACCAAGAAAAAAAATCCTTGTCGAGGTCTCGATCTTCCGACAGGACCAAGATTATTTTGCCTATATTTAATTGTTACTCTTCTTTATTTTTATTTTAGCTTCATATCCATCTTATAATCCACTAACTAGTTCATCTTCACAATTAACAACAAACGATAAATCTACTGTTAATTCTCGAGTATCACAAATGGCATCGAATAATCCTTATCCATCGTTTTATAATATAATACCACCGATAAATTTTTCATTAGCTCCACCATCGTCCATTCCGAATCGAACGATATCAGAAACATCAAAACTTTCTGTTCCGTCCATAAAAATCAAACGTCCACGTATAACTGCTAATATTCGTAATGAAATTCTTAAACTTAAAGCTAATAAGCCAACTGTATTCGTCTGGGAAATTCAACAAAATTTATTACAAAATGGTATTTGTACAGCACAAACATTGCCAAGTGTAAGTTTCATAATCTTTCGATTTTTAAAATTTCAATTTCTTTTCTTCTATTCATTAGGCAACAGTTATTCAACGAGTTCTTAATAAATCGTCGAAAAACAGTGTAACTATTAAAGAAGAACCAAAATTAAATGTTAATTTACCAACAATATTAAATACATCATCATCAGTAACAATATGTTTATCACCATCACCATCACCAACATTATCTAATGGTGAAACTATTTCTGAATGTTCAATTTGTCTTGAATCATATCGTAGTGGTCAAGAAGTTAGTATATTGGCTTGTTCACATGAATATCATTCATCATGTATTGGTGAATGGATGTTAAAAAATCGTTCATGTCCAATGTGTCGAAAAGATATTCATAATCAACCACAATTTGTTACACTTTTGATTTGAATTATTTTTGTTTTGTTTGTGTTTATTGTAAATACGAAAACATTTTTCAAAAAGACAATATTCTCTAACACCACTATAATGTGATTGAAATAAAAAAGAAATATTGCTTATTGCTTATGTTTTTCTCTAGAAAGTAAAAAACAAAAAATTATTAATAATAATAAATCTAATAAAATTTTGTATTTGTTTATGAAATTCAGATAAATAAATATGACTGATCATATTAAACGACGGGAAGAAATTGAAAAGTTTCAAGCAAAACGACGACGAATTGTAAGAAAGATATGGTTTCTTTTTTTTTTTGTTAAACAAGATTTTAAATATTCGATTTAATAGGAACAGTCGGAATCTGAAGATGAATTTAAACTAGATGATGATGATAAATTGGAGACAAATAGAAGTGGAGATGAAAATACTTTTGTACCATTGAAAGAACGACGTCGAAAACAAGTAAGCTATTTCTATCAATAAATCTTTATTGTCTTGTCAAAATTGCTTTTAATATCTAACACAAATCAAGTACTTAGTAATTATTTTCAAAGAGATAATCTAAATCTATAAACTGATGAGGGAATGTCTCCAACTATCAAACTACTATTCGGCTGCGATGAGTTTTTGTTCCTGAGATATGGAATTTTTCTATAAAAAAAAAAAAAAAACTGTAGTTTCCGATAGGTTATATGAAAAATCAACTTTCGAGTTTCAACATTAAATTTTGCATGAATGAAATTCTCAATGAGATTAACTTATGAGGCAAGTTGTAACTTCTCTAATATCTTCTATCTTGAGATATGGAATGGAATAGTATGAAATTCGTCATTGTGTAAAAGCAAGTTTTTTTCTTCGACATTCGCATATTCAGAAAGAGGAAACAATGGAAAAGCTAAAAGCTGCACAATCAACTAATCTTATTCAGAGTTTTGCTCGTTAAAAGTCGATTTTCTACATGATCTGAGGGGACAACCACTTTTTGTTGAAGATTCTAGTAAAATTTCATATATTTTCAAGAATGAAGGTGAGGAACATTAAACCATTTTTTTTTAGACTTCTCTATTACTCATTCAATGAATATCGTCTCGGTCAAAAACCGATTTGCCATCTGAAAAGATTCTCTCGTGAGATTAGATTTTGTCCTACCTATTGATGAATTCTCCTATTTTATTGATACTTTTTTCAAATAGTAGGGATATATCCAGAAACTTGTCAATTCTGACTCATATAATTTCTACTGATTAGACATAACCTACATAAAAATAAAATATACACTTTGAAGTATTGCGTCTATAACAACCATAGTTGTTCCAAATAAGTAAAAGAGTATCCCAAAAACCACTATACAAAAAAAGGAATTTGAATTTTTTCTTTATAGTTCTATCGGATGAACTGATTTTTATATTAATGATAGATGACACAGCTAAGTTTCTATCTATAAACAAGATAGAGAAATTTATGAAGACACAAGAAGTAAATTTTCATGAAAATTCAGTAATTATTTACATATCACAAAGAACTTTCTATATGATTTCGAAAATTGCTGAAACATAAGAAAAGCAATTTTCAGATGATATTACTCATTATTATCCTTCGATCAGGAATTTTCTAATCAGTTTTAAAAGTTAGAAAAATGACTAGAAAGCTACCGAAAAACGACGAAAAATATTAAGAGACAAGCAACAAATATTAGAGACATAATGATTATCAACAACCACGTCAGAATGAATTTTTCGACGTACTTTGAGAGAATACTAAAACATGAAAAGAAGTCTCAAGGCAATTTTTGAGGAATTTTCATATTTTATTTGCCTTTAACACATGAATTACCAGGTTCTAGTGTTTCTCATGGATATGCCAATAGGTGCCGCCACTTATCAACGGTATGCAGTAGAGCCTGATAATGCATACATCATTAGATTAAGTCTATCTTTACAAGTATCCCGTTTTGTAGTCGTAACCTTATAGTCGTATTTACATAATTTCTTTACCTTTAATGTATATAGATTAAGAAATGAGTCTTTAGAATGGAAAGCTCAACTTCAAAAAAAAACAATGAAAAGGCGACTATAATGTTATGACAAAAAAACGAGATATATGTAGGTTTGTAGAGAAAAAATTCCTCTATCCAACGGTATGTATATTATCAAAATCCGGTGCGTATCAGTGAGACGTCCATAGGTGGCGCCACCTTCGCTGCGTTGTACCATGGTCCGGCGAGGGTGGCGCCATCCATGGACGTCTCACTGGTACGCACCGGATTTTGATAATATATACACCGTTGGATAGAGAAAATCTTTCTCTACAGATCTACATATATCCCGAGTTTTAGTCAAAAATTGACCTGTAAATTATAGTCGCCTTTCCTAGTAATTACCGAAATTTCTAAACATTCCTTTCTTAAAATGAAGGTATTTGTATTCTTAGTTACTAAGATCAGACATATTCGGATCACATTAAAGTTTTCACCATCAAACTAACAAATTTAAAATATAGGCTATTCTTGACATGCACAGACCAAGATATTCGAATTTTATAGTGTTTATAGAATATGCAAAGTTCTCGCAATTCATTATTTCACTAGAGTTCTTTTTGTGATGGTTGGATGCATCTCATCAAGCTACAAAAGAAAGAATGTTTGAAATTAAAAAAAAAAAGCATTTCATAAAAAGCGTCCAATATACCATCATCATTCAAATATAAAAGAAAATAGACTCGTCATTTAAATTATTGTGAATTTTTTTTTTGTTCGATTCAAAAACTTGCTTTTAGTATCTTCCGTAAATCTAAACATACCTAAAAAATTCGATTTTTTTTCTATTTGATTAATCGGATATACTATAAATCTGTATATTTATTTTTTAGTTACAACGAGTTTTAGGTGGTCGAAATGCTAGTCATATAAATGCAGATAATGCAGATCATCTGTTTTCGTCGGATACCGCACATACACAGCCAGTTGCTGAAGAAATAACTGTTGGACCACAAGCAAATTTTACATTACTTGATCAATTAAGTGAAATAAAGAAAAATCAAAGTAAAAATATAAATGTTTATTTAAAGATTTAATTGTATTCGTATTAATTTTATTAGATTTATCTGATCAAACAAGTACAGATAAAATACTTGAAGAAGAAGAACGAATTCTTCAAAATGTCGTTGAAACAAAAGGTAAAATACATATGTTTATTCTATTTTTCTATATGAACCATTTCAAGCAAAACAAAACCTACTTTACCTTTCATTTGACCTTGACTTTTTTTTACGAGGGTTATGTTTCTAAATAAGTTCTCTTAGTAAAAATATTCCGGAGCTTTTTTTAAAGTAAAAATACATGTAGTGAAAGTCGATGTTTTGTGTGTTACATCACTAACGAATGATTTTATGAATATAATATATTTTATTTTATATTTAGCTTTAATGGGTGTAGCTGAATTAGCTAAAGGTATTGAATATACAGATCCAATTCGAACAAGGTAACAAATTTGAAACAAAAAAAATCGAATATAAATGTTTGAAAAATATTGCTTATCTTTTAGTTGGCGATCACCACGAGCTGTTCTTCGAATGCCCGAAGAACGTCATCGACGTATTCGACAAATATATAATATCATTGCAGAAGGTGATGATATTCCACCACCATTATGTCGATTTGAAGTTTGTGTCATAGATTTTTGTTTTTTTTTCATATTTCATTAATAAATATAATTTTATATTTAGGATATGAAATTACCAATCGGTGTTTTAAATGCATTAAAAGAAAAAAAGATTATGCTACCTACACCTATACAAATGCAAGGCATTCCATCAGTGTATGAACTATTTATTTATTTGATTAATTAAAATTTTAATAATTTTGTTTGTTTTTTTTTTTAGTTTATCTGGTCGAGATCTTATTGGTATTGCTTATACTGGAAGTGGAAAAACTTTAGTATTTGTTTTACCTCTTATTATGTTTTGTCTTGAACAAGAAAAAGCAATGCCATTTATACGTAATGAAGGACCTTATGGCCTTATTATTTGTCCATCGGTAAAGATTTCTAATAGAAGAATATTAGAGTTTAATTTAAAAAAAAATTTTTTTTTTTTCAAACTAAAAATCGAAATCTATTTCATAAATATTTATTAATTTGTTCGTATTTGCCAGTGTATATGAACGGTACCAAAAAGCTGAGAGGTTACATTCTTTTTTCAGGCTATTCGTAGCTTATTAGGATTTTTGTGCTATTTTTCAAATATTGCCTGACAAGGGAATATGTTCTTTGAATTTTTTCGGCAATATCTTGCTCTCACAATGGAGGTGTTTGTACTGTAACTTAAGGAGATGCCACATATTCGGGTCAAATGAAAGCTCTCACCGAGAAACTAACAGGGTTAAAATATTAGCTGCTAATGGCTTGCCTAGAGGGAGATATTTAACTTTTAAGTATAGGTATAAAAATGAATCAGGAAAGGTTTTCTCCACTATTGTAAGGACAAAACATAGTGTTGTT